AGGTACGTACAACAAAATTGACAGTTCTTCGCGAAGTCTAAGAAGCCTGAAAAACTTAATTTGTGTTATCAAAATTATAAGGGGAAAATTAACCCCTATCCAACCTTTTTAGACGCTACTGAAGGATAAATAGATAAAATTAATTTATTTTAGTAAATCCTAGCAACTGTAACAATAATAAAAAAATAAGACACCCTTTTGTTGCTACAGAAACGAAAGATGACCTTTTTATCAGAGGCGTACAACGAATTTGGACATACATTTTAATAATTTTTATCTCTAAAAGGAGAACACTTTTACCTGAACTTTTTTTTAATTTTAGCACCCATACTTCGAGACCAATTGCCGGTTTTATTTTGTACGTACCTTTCAACAACACGCTGTATATTTTGATCAAAAATTTATCGTGCTTGTCATAACTGTAAACTATCTGCAAAATTTCAAAGCATTCGGTTTTGCAGATTTAAAATTAAATTGCAAAATATTGTTTCAAAATTTTGATTTTTTTTCCAAAAATTTGGACGTTTCGGGTAAAAACTCAATTCGGAGTCATAAACTATATGTGTAGGACCATGTTATTTTCTACAATTTAAAACCCATTTACTATATACAATTTTGAACTGACGTCATCGCTTTAGTGGTAGGGATGATTAGACAAATTTTGGTTAGCGTTTTACCATCTACACGATATTCCTAATACAAATACAAAATTTCGCAACAATCGGTCCAGTACTTTCGGAGATTATCTGTCTAATAAAAATCCGGGACAGCAGACAGACGGACAGACAGACGGAAACAGGAGACCTATTTCTTCGTTCTCTAGGGGTTATGAAACGCCGAGAAAACGTAAAATTATAGAATCGGCCGACGGACTCGATTACAATACTTCCTTTGCTTACGCTCGGGGAGTAAAAATCTACGGTATTTAAACTTTTTCAATGTGAAATTAAATCAAGCCAAAATGTTTATTCCTTCGACTTTTTCTGTAAAATAAAAAATTAAAAAAAAGCTTATACAGGGTGACTCAATTTAAAACGAAGCAATTTGTTTTACCGATCAAATTAAGAACGGTTCACTCTATTTTCCCAGAATTCTAGATGAATTAATTTTAGGAATAGCCTTTCCTCAATTTGTCAAAATTTTGAAGCTTTAACTGTTACATTTAACCATTTAAGTATCAAAACAAGAGTGACACCACTGACCGATGCAAAAATTGGTCTGTTGTTATTAGACGGACAAAGAAATCCAGTTTTTACTTCCTCAGCGATCAATGCTCAATACTATTTTTTTTCAATTTTACAAAATAAGAGACTCCTGCACTTCTGGTATGCGAATCCGTGTCGAATTTTCACTCTAAACAACCAGAATTTTTGGAAAAAATTCAAAACTGTATAACAATATTTTGCAATCTAACTTTGAAACTGCAAAACCGAATGCTTTGAACTCTTGTAAAAGTTTTCAGGTTATCGTAATCATGTTAAATCGTTAAGCAAAATTTATTCGTTTATACCGTCCCTAAAAATTGATGACGTCATCTCAAAATTTTGTTAAGGGAAAACTCATTTGAAACATACGCGCAACACGCTTCTTTATATTTACTTTAACGTTACGTACATATTTTTATTTTCAGTTATAAGGGTTCTCATAAAAAATAAAATTCGCATAATCAAATTTTATATTTTTTTTAAAAAGCTGCTTTTGTTTTATTGGACTTCCGCAACGAGGGAAGTTCTTTCGAAATAACCTTAGACCAATTTTTTATGTATACATTTAAAAAAATAAATAACACCAGTCATAGCTAAGGAAAAAATAGTGTTTTCGTTAATGTTTGGTGTTTAGTAGGCTATGTATTTTGTTTATAAGTGATTCCTTAGTTCTTGTTTGTTTATTTGTTTAGGTTTTCAGGACGGAGTTTTATTAATATTTTCAGTGTTTTGCCGACGGTTCGCTACCTTTATTGCAGCTTTCTCAAGGCTATGCTAGAAACGTTATATTTTTATCTTATCCTATATCATTTTTATTGACTTACCACTGTTATTAGTCAAAACTATTAATGTTATCGAAAAAGATACATATTTAAATTTTTATACCAGTAGTGTGGTAATGAGTGACCGTTATTAATTATTTTATACGTTTACAATTCAAATTTTGGTGGTACCAACTCCTAACCTTAAATTTCCTAGTGCATCTAGTTATTTTTACTATCTTACGTTAACCTTATATGTCAATTAATTATAAATTCTTAACCTAACTTACTGTTTATTTTATTTTTTTTAAGTCCTGTACCTTTACTAAGTGCCATATAAATAAACAAACAAGAAATAAGCAATCACGGATTAGAGGACAACAAAACATGACGAATAATTTTTTATAAGTTAATTTATAAGTTCGTGCTGCTGCCAGATTTTCAAGTTCAATTTGAAATTCAACGTTCAGTGTCAAAGTTTGGTTATAAATGTACCAACTGATTTAAAAATCCGTGGCTTACTAGATATCAAACACTAATGAAAGCCCTTTTGTATTAGTGCAAAATGTTATACAATTTGGATTCTTTTGCGAAAATCTGGAAGCTAAGGGTAAAAATCAAGACAGTTTCATAAAGCGCAAGTGCAGGAGTATGTAATTTTATAAAATTTAGATAGAATTTACCATGCAAAATTTTGGGGTAACGTTATCAATTGGAAATGGATGGTGGGTTTTTGCTCAGCGTTCTACCGCCAGTTAAATGCCTATAAAATTTGACAACAGGTTCGGGGGACCTATTTTTTCATTATTTAGGGGTCATGAATCGTCGGGAAAATGTGAAAATGTACAGTACTTCCCTAGTTCACACTCAGGAAGTAAAAATATTGACAACTGGTTTCTTATGAGATTGTTATTCGTCAACAGTTAGTTTTAAATCAATCACTATTAGAGTCTGCTTTTACTAGTGAAATTAAAACGGGAGGAAAAAATCTAGACCTAAAAACCTTGAATTTTTTAAAATCTAAATTAAAGTAATGGGGTCCTAAGTTAGGTTAAATTGGTCGGGAAAAGGTGACAGGGATGCTAGGACAGATCAAATTGATTGACGAAAAAGGATGGGCTTCCTACGACAGATCAAATTGGTGATAACAAATAACGGGGGTCCTAAGACAGGTCAGGTCAGGTCAGCTCAGGTCAGGTCAAATCGGTGAACAAAAAATAATGGGGGTCCTAAGACAGGTCAAATTGCTCGACAAAGTAATGAGGGTCCTAAGACAGGCCAAATAGTCGACAAATAATGATTAGGGTTCTAAGACAATTCAAATTGGCAACAAAAAATCATGGGGGTTCTAAGAAGACAGATCAAATTGGTCAAGAAAAAAGTATGGGGATCCTAATACAGGCCAAATTGATCGATAAAATACGATGGCGGTCCTAAGACAGGTCAAATTGGTGACAAAAAGTGATGGGGGCCCTAAGACAGATAAAATTGGTGACAAAAAATGATGAGAGTCCTAAGACAGGACAAACTGGTCTACAGAAAATGATGGGGATGTTAGGATCAGTCAAATGAGGCCCAACTGTCTTAGATCCTCATCATAATATTCTAGTTACTTGTTGATCGTTTTTTATCACCAAAACGAACACGATAATCCAAACGACAGATGTAACAGATCTTCTCTGCCACCTATGTTCCCGAATAAAATCGATTAGCTAGAAACTGGAGGAGTTATTTCAGTGTGATAAGCTGATAAGTCTCTTTGAAACTCCTCAGAAGTAAGAATTTCAAAATTTATTATCATCAAAAGGGTTTGATACCCTATATATCATTAATTAATGGGAATTTAAAATCTGCGGGATACCTAAGGCTGCTGCGGAAACTACTTGGTTTCAACAAGATGGTGCTCCACCCCATTGTAGAAGTCACGTAAGTGCGACAGTACTTAGATGAAATTTTTCGTGGATATTGAGTGGCCTGCCAGGTCACCGGATTTGACACCGCTTGACTTTTTTTTGTGAGACTATTTGAAAAATCGCCATTATATCAATAGACCCATTCACATCGAAGACTTACAAGAACGCATACGTAACGAAATTGCTAGCATTCGTCCAAAAATTTGTCATTAACTCACTACATAATTTTATTCACCGTCGTTTTTACTGCCAGAAAGTAAATTGAAAGCATTTTGGTAATCTTTTGCAGAAAACAGAGGTTTAATTTTGGTTTCAGTTGTTATTGGGTAATTTATTCATTGTTTAATAATTTATTTTGATATTTCAGCCAGAAAGAAAGTATATTTGTGCTATTTCAATGAATTCAGAAAAAAAGCTCTGTTCAAAAATGCACTAATTATACGGTAGTGTCCTTTAAAAAAATCAAGTTGGCCTTGCCTCGAAAACAAATGAAGCCAAAAAAAAAGTTTTTCAACGAATAATTAGAGCACAACTTCTTGTACTCCTATACCTAATTTCAGTTGATTTGTACAATTGGTTATAAAGATATTTAAACATACAGGCTATATATGTTTATATATCTTCCAAAAATTTTGACGCAAATAACATTTCTTTGTTATTTACTTTTGTCTGCAATTTTAATTATTACTAGCCGTTAGCACTAAATTAAAGTGAAGTTTTTTTGATTAAAAAAATAGCTTTGACCGGGGAGATGGGACCCTAGAGCACAATATGACTTTCACAGAGCTGAACTTTTAACAACAAACCACGACTATTTTTTTTAATCATATAGAATAACATAAAAACTAATCTTAAATCAGATACATTCAAGGATTATTTTTTAATTCATACATTCTAGTTAATAACAAAAAATCAGAAGCACGACTCTTATTTAGCAAAAGTGCAAAATTTGTTCGCAGGAATTCATCAGTCAGCATTTCTACAAAGCCCAGGTGCAATACAAAATTCTCCATATTTCCTTCCCAGAACATCTTTCCAGGATGCTTTCAGATCATAATTACTTTTCCAAGAAGCTTCTAAACGCATTCGAGATTTTGTAGTCTGTCCATTTTTCTCGCACCAGCTTTCTCCCTCGCATCATTACCATCTCTTAAACTTTTGCATCACGGAATCAATCAATCCTTCGACTCCACACCGTACGTCCAAATATGCAAGTCGCGTAGGTTTACCAACTCACAGACCGACGTAGAATCACTGATGACGTAGCGCATAACTCCAGCTTTGGGTGTTTGCGTCCACGCCCTGTAATGAAATGGCTTAATAATGTTGCACTGCCTCTATAAATAATCGCACGCAACAGACCCACTGAAATTAATAACGCTACGAACGCGAGCTCATTGTCAACGAGTCAATGTGGGTAAAAATAAACAATGCAATGCCACAGCGCCGTGCCTGAAAAACCTCGAAGATGACACTCGCTGACCACAAATCTCCGGTTTAAGACCATGCTTCGAATCGACAAACAACATCATTCTTGAGCTAATGCTTCGGCGTAAATGTAGAGAAAGGTGAACGTTTGATATCGATTTCTTGGATCTGCTGCTTGATTGATAACGTGCTGAGCTTATTGTTACGGAGATGGACGAGTGGATGGGGAGGAAGAGAATAATTTCAAGTTTACTTAAGCTGCTGGCTGTTTGTTTATGGGATAATGTAGAGGCGGAACCGTGCTTTCGGGTTTAATATTTAAAAACGCAGAAACGCAGGTATTTTGCACTCAGGATTAAGGAATTATTTGTGAAACGTGGTTAGAACCGTTGAAGTGGGTTGCTAGATAATCAATCATTGACCATTGTACTGTTATCGACAAAAATAATGCAATTTTCGGTGTAGGGGGAACGCTATTACGGTAGATGTTTTGATACATTAATTAGTGCTGTATTTTTAGATATTAATTTTTTGCAATAGAGAAGGAAATTATATAACGCATTGGCAGTTCCAAGTAATTATACTTTTATTTTAAAACAATAGATTGTTTAAAAATTCCCCTTCTCATCATTTTTAACGATGTAATCTATAATTTTTCCAGAAAACTTTTTAATTACCTTGCCTTGAACATCTAAAAATTAGACACTAATAAAATTTGTTTGCGCAACGCTTAAGGCTGTTGCTACGATTAAGCAGATGATGACCTAAGCTCCCCTGCTAGGTAAAGAAATTATTGCCTGTTTGTTTTACAATTTTTCGTAAGTTTGATTTGTATTGTTGAAAGAGATTGGATCAAGTAGTGTTCATATAGGATAAACAAATTTTAGACCATATTTATACCATTTTTTTATAGTTATTAAAAAAATAAGACTGTGTAAACATAGTTTGATGCTTTCCCTGTCAGAATCATGAAAAAGTAGCAACAATTTTTTTCTAAACGCGCTGCAGGTCGTTATTTGATGTTTATGGAGGACCAGGCGGTGCTATTTCTTGACGATTTCAGCGTAGCTACAGCCCTAAATTCGCAATTTTCTCGTTGATATCAAGTGGGACAGTCATATTTTATGACTCTTTCCAACTCAGTTTTCGTCTGGCACTGAATTTACTACTTTTTCTCCTAACAGTTTTTACTTTTCAAGTAAAGGTGAGATTTCCTCTCAGCAGTAATAACAAGGTCAAGTTCAAGGGTTTATGTTTTTACATCAAAAAAATGTCACGTAGAAATTAGTTTGATTTCAATAAATTTGTTTCCTCAAAGCAAAGAGCTAAATTATTACTTAAACCATAATCGAACAAAATGTCCTGAATCCTTAAACGTTATATCCCACAAGAATAGGAATATATTGTTGAATAACATTTAAATCGTTTTAAATAGAATTCTTTGAGATGATGTCATCATTCCTAAAATAGACAATAAAATTTCGTTTTGGAGTTTACGCGTCTAATAAAAATCGACGCAGACGCCAGATAGACAGTCAGACAGATAGACGGAAACGGGAGATCATATGTTTCGTACTCTAGGGGCCATGAAACGTCGAGAAACCATTAACCCGGCAAGTCGCCCGATGCGCTCGATTACTATACTTCATTAGCTTACGTTCGGAAAATAAAAATAAGACACTAAATACTTACATTAAGATTTTATTTAAAAAATGAGTATTAAAAAGTTTACAAATTTCATCGCCCTGTATAAATCATTTGTAAAAATGTTCACTATTCTACATGCAATATCACTAAAAACGTTTTACCAAATTAACATTTTTGGTTTTCAAAGTTTCTTTGAGAAATGACAAAAACATTTTTTGACAAATTTTATTTGTAATAACGTCTATATTTAAAAAAAGTAGCTTACTTTTGGGAACTAAAAATATTGTTGTATTTTTTTAGAGATTCTTGTAGAGCTAGTTTTTCTGAATTTATTAATGTATCATTTTTAAGTCATTTATACTCCGCTACTGCCTTGATTCGAACACATTCTACTAGATTGATTTTATGTTTTTTGTTATAATAAATTTTGTTCTTCGCTGCAAAAATTTGTTGAAAGTTAACTATGTAAACAAAGAAAAAAAAGAACAAAGATTAAGCCCCACCCACCCACCCTGATCTCAATTGTGATGAGTTTTTCATTCCTAATCAGACAAGGGGCGGAGTTTAATAATTTTAACATAATATTTCTGTAGAAAATTCTACTCTTTTAAAGACATATTTCATATGGTAATTTCTTGTAGAGAAATGAGGATTTTACAACTAAACTCCGCCCTACAGCTCACGATGAATAAAATATTCAGCACAATTGAGAAGGGGTGGGTGGGCGGGGCTTATATTTTGTCCATTTTTTCTTAATATATGAAGTCTTCTTTTCCCAACAAGAAACTGAAAACATGTTTAACTATCCTGTTGTAGAAAGAAAATTCTATATATTTATTAAGAAAAAAACACAAACTAAGCCCCACCGACCCGTCCCGGTCTTAATTGTGATGAATTTTTCATTCGTTGTTACACCAAGGGGCGGAGTTTAATTGTAACATCAATATTTCTCTAAAAAATTCCATTCTTGTAAAAACATACTTTATATGGTAATTTCTTGTAGAGAAATGAGGAATTTGCAGATAAACTCCGCCCTTCAGCTCACGATGAATATAATGTTCATCACAATCGAGAAGGGGTGGGTGGGCGGGGCTTATATTTTGTCCATTTTTTTCTTAATATACGAAGTCTTCTTCTGCCAACAAGAAACTAAAATCATGTTTAACTATCCTGTTGTAAAAAGAAAATTATATATATTAAAAAAAAAAACGATTAAGCCCCACCCACCCGTCCCGATCTTAATTGTGATGAATTTTTCGTTCGTTGTTACACCGAGGGGCGGAGTTTAACTGTTACATCAATATTTTTTTTTAAATTCTACTCTTGTAAAAACATACTTCATATGGTAATTTCTTGAAAAGAAATGAAGATTTTACAACTAAACTCCGCCCTTCAGCTCACGATGAATAAAATATTCAGCACAATTGAGAAGGGGTGGGTGGGCGGCACTTATATTTTGTCCATTTTTTTCTTAATATACGAAGTCTTCTTTTCCCAACAAGAAACTGAAAACATGTTTAACTATCCTGTAAAAAAAAAAACGATTAAGCCCCACCCACCCGTCCCGATCTTAATTGTGATGAATTTTTCATTCGTTGTTACACCGAGGGGCGGAGTTTAATTGTAACATCAATATTTCTCTAAAAAATTCCATCCTTGTAAAAACATACTTCATATTGTAATTTCTTGAAGAGAAATGAGGATTTTGCAACTAAACTCCGCCCTTCAGCTCACGATGAATATAATGTTCATCATAATCGAGAAGGGGTGGGTGGGCGGGGCTTATATTTTGTCCATTTTTTCTTAATATATGAAGTCTTCTTTTCCCAACAAGAAACTGAAAACATGTTTAACTATCCTGTTGTAGAAAGAAAATTCTATATGTTTATTAAGAATAAAACACAAACTAAGCCCCACCCACCCGCCCCGGTCTTAATTGTGATGAATTTTTCATTCGTTGTTACACCGAGGGGCGGAGTTTAATTGTAACATCAATATTTCTCTAAAAAATTCCATCCTTGTAAAAACATACTTTATATGGTAATTTCTTGTAGAGAAATGAGGAATTTGCAACTAAACTCCGCCCTTCAGCTCACGATGAATATAATGTTCATCACAATCGAGAAGGGGTGGGTGGGCGGGGCTTATATTTTGTCCATTTTTTTCTTAATATACGAAGTCTTCTTTTCCCAACAAGAAACTGAACACAAGTTTAACTATCCTGTTGTAGAAAGAAAATTCTATATATTAAAAAAAAAACAAAGATTAAGCAAGATCTTAATTGTGATGAATTTTTCATTCGTTGTTACACCGAGGGGCGGAGTTTAATTGTAACATCAATATTTCTCTAAAAAATTCTACACTTTTAAAAACATATTTGGAGAGAAACGCGCAGTGAACCTACTAATCCTGATGATCAGAAAACGTGCGTCTTATCCGGACATTAACTCAGGTTGTTACTGTGTTTTTCAGGTGATCCCTGATTGTTATTTCTAAGATTTTTCCTGTTGTTACAAACAATGAAAATAATTCAAAAGTGATGTATTTTAGTTAAAAGAAGTGTAATTTGAGTATATAATTTGATCAAATTTTAAAAACTTTTTTAGAAGCTTATGGAAGAAGAATAGACCTCTAGTGCTGTTGGGACACCCTGTGTTTAGCTATCCTATTTTCCTTATTTTATTAAATGGAAATAAACTGAAGCAATCATCATTTAAAACGTTATGGTGGTGGATTATGTCAACATTACTCAATAGAATGGGTAATAAATAAATTCTGGAAGACATAATAATGTACGAGGGGTACTTAGAAATGACTAAAGCCAAGCAAGGGCTTAAGTAGTCACCCCTGAGCTAGACCAAACACAAATTTTGTGTTTACTGTTGTAATCAAAGTGGTTGTTTCACTTCCTCGCCTTGAGAGTTTACATCATCGGAATTAAAACGGAGTAAAAGAGCATCTAAAGAATTTTGTGTGGGATCCAGTTTTTATGTTTCGTTGATAAAATAATTTATAAGAGGATATGAATGGAAGGCGTTTTGTTCTACTTAGAGGTAATTAGTCGATCCATTTTTGCTCACAGGTGAACTTGAAACTGCTGTTTATGAACCGTACGAAGCTGAGAAACTTCGAAACCTACTGTATAAGACCAGAATGGCATAAGTTTTAGAACTTGGTGTTCTTAGCCCTTGGCTGTTATATTAAACGATCTTAGAGAAATGTATTACTTTTCTTTTTTTATAATCTCCAAATCGGCAAGAAACATGAAATTATGGTCTCATTACGGTGATTCCCCTAGTTTCATTTTTCAGTTAAAAAAACACACGATTAATTCACCAACATTTGAATGTGTTGTGTATTCTGGTGCCTATTTTATCGTGTGTACAATGTAT